CCAAAGCAAATATTGATGATATCTCAAAAGCTAAACGCCAGTTTCACAAATCTCACTAAACTTTTTTGCTGCTTAGTTTGCGAGATTCGGATATGTGCGCACTGGGTGTGATATAACTATCTTATTGCTAACGTCTGCTTCTTTGATAACGTTTTGGTAAATAAACATGTTTGTTGTCTTTATTTTTTGTGTATCACTGTATTGTATCGAACAAAATGGTTATGCCGCCCGCTCTCGTCATTCTCTCAGTTATCTGGCCCGCTGTGAAAAAAGTTTGGTGACCCCTGTCTTATAGTATTTGTCAGTAAAAACAGAAACCGTAAAGGAGGGGGGGGGGAAGAGGTTACCCTCCCAGGTCGCGAACCTACCACCGACCCAGACAGATGCGACAATGACGTTAGTACAGCTCTATATCTTGTATAACTTCAAATCAGAATTCGTGAAATTAATTAAATACGTGGTGTTAGTTTATATTGATATTAAATAATTCAAAATAATGTCTGCAAACATCGTTATTGCTTTTGAAAGGTAAGCAAACCATGCGATGACTACATTTTCTGTTTATCAATGCCAAAAATCCGAAGAGGCCTATATTTGATCATTAGGTTAATATAGTAAGGGCCTAAGTTATTAGAGTAGACTGCACAAATTACTTCTACTTTTAGTAGTAGTAGTAGATTACTTGTACTATATTTCTCGCGTCAATACGAAATTAAACGTCTAGGCTCTACCAATACTAGGCTAGTAATTGTAGAATCGTTAGCCTTATGATTCTGTCGTTGTTCTTGCTTCGTCTGATAGAAAGTCTGACTGACTAGTTACATAGATTTATAAATACTGTAGTAATACAAATAGCCCAGTTACTAAATTAGATCTATAACTATCATAACGAACGGGATGCTGTAAATCAGACACATAACAACAGTATAACAAAACTACAGTTACTGTACGTGAGTCTAGAGAACGTATGTCTTGCGTAATTCAACTTCAAGTTAATAGCTTGAAAGTTGGAGATGTTTATAAAACACTATTACTTCATTGTAACAAATGCAAGCAAAGAGAGAGATGTAATAGGCCCATCAAATAAGTTAATTTCATTGAAATACATTTGTAGACTGGTGTTGAAAGCTACACTACTACGATACACTTTCTAAGCAGCTGTTGGCCTGTGAGGCAAATAAAGTAATAACTAACATAGAATTATTTTTTTTTTGCAGATTATAATAACTGTATCCCCTTTTGCTGCCAAGCCAGGAACCCCTAACAATAAAATAAGCACAGATACTCTGTATAATTTGAAAATCTCAACTCATAAAGTTATGAGATGAGTAATGAAACTATTACACTATCCATTAAGCCATCTCCAAACTTTATTTTCTAAAAAGTGAAATTTCAATTCATGTCAGTTTGTGAGCACTAGGTGTTCCAAGTAGGTCTACTAAATATTATAGGCTTTAGGTGTAGTAGATATTTTATTACGCATTAACATTGGATCTAGTAGATTTAATAATTGTTGTTAGAAAAGTATATCTAACATTTAGGCCTAATATTATGCTATTTTTGAATGCACTCTTATTTTGCCCTTATATGAAATTTTATCACTATTAAAAGACTCATATTAAGGTCTTTTGGATAAACAAGTAGAAACTAACGTATGAAAGGATGCTTTTCTTTAGCTTGTTTTTTATCATTTCTTAACGAACAATTCATAGCAAAACAAGTGTACAGCGTTGTTTACAGATGCCAAGTTGTCTTCTTTTCGAAGATGGTGCATAAGGAAATAACAGCTTATGGTAATATTATGTCACATGTACTCCAGGCTTTTATACTCCATGAACCAAATTATATAGACACCAGGAAAGTGCTAAGTCTAGATCATCATCAAAAATGATCTACTTTGCCATCACAAGTATCTTGATTGAGCCTTGACTAAATTTGGAAGTCTGTTGCATTAACATCTCTCACCATGATTGAATACTATTTTAATAGAAATAAGCTTTTCCCTACTCAAGACTGGTATCTGGCCTACTAATTCTGAAAACAACACTAAACATTAGGTATAGACTAATAAAGACTAGACACTCATCTATTGAATGATAAAATTTTCACTGTCCTCAAGACATTAATCACAACCTTTAAATATCAACTATTTAAATAAGCATTTTTAGATCAGAGGACAACAAAATGAAACAGGCACACACACCACTGCATATTAAAACAAGGGTAAAATAATAACACACAATTAATGACCCATTATGTTTATTTTCAATCTTTCCAGTGGTGTTTTGAAATAAATAAAGCCTTAGAAACAACTACTATGAACTATTTCAGGTTAACAAGACCCATTTAACATTTTATGTTACCCATTGATTTTAAATAGTCTCTTCTGTTCAGTAGTTTACTCACTAGGACTTGTTGTTGAAAGCAGAATTTTATTAATACTGATTTTTTATTTTATTACATATGCAACTTTTTACTGTCACATGCCTGTCTGACCATCACTTTGAGAAATTTACTTAGCTTGGAAATCATATGAAATGTACTTGTAGCAGTCATGGTCATGTATTAAATACATGGCATCTGAAAATCAATTCAACATGGAGAAAAATAACAAAAAATGGAAATCAATGGAAACTTGAATGATAAAAACAAGCATGTTTTATGATAATTAAAATGAGGGCATATAAAGCTCAATTAATTGAAAAAGTAATTACTAATACTCTGACAAAGTATATTTCTAAAATTTGAAATTGAAACAAACAATATATACACAGTACATTTTGACATTCTCCAAAAATCTCTGGACAATTGTGATGATATGCAATTAGATAATTAAACTTTGTAATACTGCAAATTTGAAATCATTATACTAATATAATTATTTCTCTCTTTTCTTTTTTTTTTTTTTAAGAATTTTGAGAAATAAGATTTCCTGGTCCCTAAATGATTTTACCAATATTCTGTTGAGTAATGCTCCTTTACTACATTTTTCTGATATCTGATGTTTTAAATAAAAGTTGATCAAAGTGTATCAATTTTTGCTTGGATATGGCAAGTATAGAATATGTATATAACTATCAAAACAAAATCTAATCATAGAATCATCAGCAATAATCAAATATGAAAAATAAACATTCAACTGGATATTTACACCTTACAAATACTATACGTTTAGTGTGGATTGCAGATTTAACTATACAACTTTTGAAATATCAACACACCACTGATGGTTGTTTTCCTGATGCTTCTTGATTTTGTCTGACCAGGATTTATGTATAATATGCAAGAAAAATAGTTTAAATCCACTCTCAGAACTTCATACAGAAATGTTCAGGCTCTCCACTGTTTTTCTGATTTTATTCTCATCTTTGCTTAAGAATATCACTAGTTGTCTTTATCAGTGACATCTGGGCTGCAGACATTCTTACATGCTAGACATTAAAACTCCACAGCTTGATCACAATGGAACACTTCTTTAGTAACTGCTTCAAACTCTGTAGACAGCTAGCATGGATGAAAACTCACACTTCCTCCATATTTTCACAGTATGCTGCAGGATGAATACTATCACACTCATTTTCTGCTTCTTCAGAAGTGTTACTTCTCCTTTGATCCCTGACTGATTTCACCCTTGGAGTAACTCCAGCAATGATACGCTATAGATAAAAATGGCTCTTTAAATAAAGGTATATAATAACAAGAATTTATGTTGTTATTGGTGTTTGAGGATTTAACTGAAACTATTAATTTTTTGTTTTGTCCAAAGGCTTAAGTACGTAGTGCAACGCATTAAGCACTATTCTCTTATCCATAGCCATTTCATATTGCCAACCAGTGTCTGGCATACATATCGACCATGTAATATAACTTGCAAGTGTATTTAGAGCTTTAATTAAACTACAATTACAAATTAGAATAGTACTGAGGTATTCCTGTAAGTATATAACATGATTAATTGAGAGAATGACAGAATATTTTACCTAATGAAATGATATATCTCTAAGAGGTAACAGACCTCTCACCTCTTTCAATGTTCCAGGAGTAACAGCCAGAAAGTAGATCATATAGCAGGGAATCCAGATCATTGAAGACAGAGCAATGAGCCAGCCAATCAAATGGCCCCACCACGGATACTCATAAGTCTGGGCATACACAAGGGGTTTGTAACGGATGACTGAAAACAGGAAGATGCTCTGAAATGTGAAGGGTATTCCCATAATTAGAGGCCTTTAACTTAGGGTAATTGTGAAAATACTACATTTGGGAGCATTACACAAGAAGCTTCAAAGGTATTGTTAAAATTTTTATTTTACAGCTTAGCACTAAGGATTATTCTTTCCATTAGATGGTACACAAAAGTTATCCTAATAGTAGTTTTATTTACCTGTACATTATCAATATCCTATACACAATTAAAACTGAACAAGTGTTCTGTACCAACATTTTTACACTCAAAAAGTCATAAATGACATTATTATAGTACTCTTGAGATTTTAAGCTATTGACAGCTTGCATAAACTTGACTGTACTCTCAAACCAAATTGAAATGTGTTTTGCACAGATTCTTTAAGTGCCTACACCACTCAGAAAGTCTGTTAAATTGAACAAGTTGAGGCTGCTAAAGATTTAATTTGATTATTTGAATATGTCATGATATAAAAGACTGCTTCATTCAGTAGTATTGATTAATTTAGTTTTGTGAGTGAATGTTTTATTATTATTTAGTTTTTGTTACAATAAGGGTGAAAAGCAGATGATTGTAGAAGGTTTTGTTAATAACTTATTGGTGTTGAGAATATAGAAAGTGGCCAGACAACTATGTAATAAAGATATAAGTAGCGTGAGATGAGCGGGAAGCAGTAGACAGACAACAATAGACAGATAAAAGCAAAGAGAATATAGTTGGTGTGAAGTTAATTAACATAAAAGCGATAGGCCTAACGACTGATATAGGCCTAACGTTTAATATATTAGAGTGAAACTAACAGTATAAAAAGATAAGAAGGATAATTTTATTCTATCAAACCATGGTTCTAAAGTAATTGAATCAGCCTGGGTACACTTTGACAAAAGGAACAGAGGATCTTCAAAAGAAAGGCCAAACAAATTACAATAACTTTCACTCAACTGTAGTGTAAGTGAATCACACACAGAATACTATTACTAGTACGATAGTAATATAGAGAAGATAGTTCAACTTGTCAAGTGAATTTCTAAAGTAATTGAATAAGCCTAAGTGGACTTTTGACAAGAAGAAGAGAACTATATAAACAGTGTTTATGATATGCGTGCAATCTCTATAGTGTGAAGACTTTGTTGTACATACGTTTAACTTGTTCCAAATATATATACACATTTGAAAACAAGTGAAGTATGTGCTGTTTATTCATCGTTGAATTTATCGCTAACAAGTCACAGACACCTACTGTAGAAGAATCCTAAGCCCAATAACAACACAGTATATATTTATACCATTAAGAAATATATGTAAAAGCCATTTATTTAGACAATTGGCAAAAAGAAGAATTATATATATATATATATATATTATTTTAAAAATCTGACAGAGTACTACACACTAACTAATTTGTTTTTCTATAGAATTTAGTAAGCTGTAAATACTTAAACTATACTAAGTGAATAGAAAGCAGTTGAAGCAGACAATTTAAACAACACTTACTATACAGACGGAAGGAGCAACAAACACCCAGCTAATCACAAAATAACAGTTGGGAGATTGGCCAGTCATCTCAGTGATGTTATCAGAAAACCTTTTCACTCCTGCAATAATGCACACAGATAAAATATTACTATTTGTCCAAAGAGATCCTATGTAGAAATAGAAAGATTTTAATAACTTCAAATGTTTTCAAATGTCTTTGGGTTCCTCCAGAAATATAAAGTTATAAATTTGAATCTTGTGGAAATTATGAAATACAATATTCCCATTCAAGAGGTGTTATATGGTAAAATCAAGAAATTAACTGAGAATTTTAAGTGCTGTAATACAGATATCAGAATTACGGATTTCAGAATTATGTGAAAAGGATAAATCAGTAAATTAAAAATATTCTTACCATAAACCCAAGTGATAGCAATAGTTTGGAAGAAAACAGTAAACAACAAGGTGATACCACTAGCAGAATAATAATCCATGAGTTGGAACAGGTACATTCCTCCCTAGAACCAGAAAATAGACAGTATTATCAGCTTTATGTGAAAATATAAACCCCAATTAAACTTCAAGGATTTCTAACAATCAGGTGTTGATAAAATTAATAGAATTGGTAAATAACACCTTCATAGTTTGCAAAAATGTTCACCATATGAAAAAATTTCTTTGTTAAGTAAAAAGGGCTATTTATTTTGATAGACAAAAAAAAACATCATACCTCAGTTACCATTGGCAAACCCAGCAGATAAAGGATGATAAATATAGTTACAGTAAACAATTTTCGGTGAGGACGTAACACTGTTTCCCATTCATCTACAATTCCTGTGATAAGGGCTTCCATTGTACAAAACTGCAATATGAATTGGAATTTCATGAATATCATTACTAAATGAAGAACCTTAAGCATATGAACAACCAAAATTTTCCCCATCAATAGAAACTTGATAAAATCAATGCTATTATACCTCTAAATTTTCATTTTTTAAATACTCTTAGACAATTAAGAAGTGAAAGAGCAGAATTTTCAATATTCCTCTTATACAAGTTTATGTTTTGTTATATTAATTTTAATACAGATAATGAATATTGTTTTCCATAACATTTCACTTAAGATAAGAATTAGTTATTTTTCATAATAGTTACTGAACAATTGTAAAACATGTCATCAAAATCCATTCTTCATCAACTTTATATTAATTCAAGCTACTGCCATGCAAGCTCATTGTAATCAACTATTGTGTATCACACAGCTCACCTGGCTGTCACCTATTGGCTCATAATAACCAACTGTTATGTACCACATAGCTCACCTAGCTGTCACCTATTGGCTCATCCCAACCAACTATTGTGTACCACATGGCTCACCTGGTTGTCATCTATCAGCTCATTCTAGCTAACTATCTTGGATTATGCGGCTCATTTGACTTTCACCCATGCATATTACAACTCACCTGACTATCGATACCAAGAATGAACAGCATTAGGAAGAATATTACTGACCACAGAGGGGCCAGTGGAAGTTGTAGCACAACTTCAGGATATACCATGAAGGCAAGTCCAGGGCCTTACAAAAAAAAAAGAAAACTGTTATCAATACAAAACAAGAAAAGGCAGAAGCATTTTTTTTATTACAAGTTTTTCTTCAGATGAGAACAAGACCAGACATCTTTATCAAAATATTTTCTAAATCTATTTTATAGATAAAAGTCATGCTTGAAAAGCTACCAACATAACAACTGCAAGAATAATTTATATCAAGAAATATGCAGTAACACAAAATATGCAAAAAATAATTAAAAACTCCATGGCTTTTTTTTTACACCACTAAGTATACTTTCAGATTCTTTTTTCTTTCAGATAAAATTAAATTAGCACTTTTTCATACAAATCCTAATTATTTTGTTTGTAACGTTTTAGAATTATTGTTAAGTTTACTTATCATAAGCACTTCAATAAAATTTCTACCTTACATACACATTCTTTCCTAGAGTGAAAGTGATTTGGATTTTATTATGAACATGTTACCAACTTAATCTTGCAGGATATAAAATACAACTCTTTAGGAATCATACCTGACTTAAACAAATCTGCAACTTCAACTCCCTTTACGTGAGCCATGTACCCAAGCACAGAAAATATCACACATCCTGCCACAATGCTTGTAGTTGGGTTTACTATACACAAGATGAAGGAATCTCTGCAATACAAAAATATCTCCTAAAGTCGTGTAGGGGTTTTGCTAGACTGTAAAAATTATGTGGCAAAATACAAAAGTTTGAGTAAGATATATTAAAACAATTTTAGTGTTTCACCATGATATAAAAAATTCAAGTCACCATGTTTGTAGTCATGATGTATCTGTTAACCATGCATTTTAACACTAGCCTTGCAATGCAATTTCCATTGTAAGACACTCTGTCGTAAGGCTGTCTTGTTCAAAGCATACCTCTCCTCTGTGTATAGTTTCCATAATCCATCTAGTGCACAAGTGTCATGGTTTCCCAACAGCTGTGTATAGTTTCCATAATCCATCTAGTGTACAATTGTGATTTCCCATGTAGCTGTTTCAACAATGTGATTGAACACAAATCCATAGATTCTGAATCCAGCAACTTGATTGTATGTCTTATAGAATAGCATGAATATCCATTTCATTCTTCAGCTGCTTAAGGTATGGGATGGTTAAATGGGAGATAAGACTTATCTTGGTGAACCAATACACTACTGATCCTGTTTCCATAAAGAGCTATTGTTTCTGTGTGGTACAAAGGGTCCATAACATTGTTCTGATAGTAAGCAGGGTTCCCTTAACCTTTGTATTCACTCTTCTGATCTCAAGCTTGCTTTTGGCACAGTATCCCGTGGTGATCGTGAATACCTATGAAAAAGTTTTACAACATGGCATGTACCACTTTTTGAATTTTCTTTTTCACCAATTAACAGGTAGAAAGTAGCATGAAACTTGATAAAGTTGAAAGGTACACACGACTACCATTTTCTCATCAGCTAGGTACTGTTCATACAGTTTTATAAAGTTCTTTTTTTATTATTTTACACACAGTTGCTGCAGTCACATGGATGGCATTTGCCACTGACCTTTTTGTTCATTGATTCTCATATGTTCCAAGACATCACACTTTGATAACCATGATGGGGTTATAATTTGTTGTCGTTATCTTTTCTGAATAGTGCCCCCCCAATTGATGCGTATTATTTTTTTTCCAATACTATTAAGCAAACAAAATATTCCCATCTTGGAAATTCTACATTTCTTATTTGAACACAAGTTCATGACCTGAGTTTATGAATATTTTGAGTCAGTATGTTACATACCATTTCCAAAGGTAATCAATTTCCAATGCCATCACATTATCTACAAAAAACAACATAAAAATGTAGTTCTGACATATTCTGTTCCATTGTGGTTTTATATTGGCCATATGTATGCAACCTCTGTAATCTTATGACACAATTTAAATATTTTTCAGCAGAAAAGTTAACTAAGCAGCATATATTGAAACAAGATATAAGGATTGATGGCTGGAGAATTCACTGGTCGAAGCGTTGTGAAAATAATAATACACAAAATAAAGACGAGAATAATAGTCTGAATAATTATACCATTAGTAATACTAACTCCTCCTCTCAATCATTTCCCAAAACTACATAAGGATTAACCTCATAAAAAATAACACTAAACATTGATATTACGATTAACTACATGTCAAAAAATAAATTTTATTATCCAACTCACTTCACGAAATTGTGGTGAAACTTGTTGTAACTTCCCAAGGTCACGACAGAACCAAAACCAAGACCAAAAGTAAAGAACACTTGTGTGCCTGCAACAACCCAAACCTGTCAAGAGACAAAAAAAGAAATAAAAAATGAGTTACAGTTTGACCAGTACCTATAAATTCCTTGAAATAAGTGGCCTACTTGTAAATATATTTGCATTGATAATTGGCCTATTTATAATTGATTAAATATGAATATGTTGCTTGTGTGTGTTAATTTAAGCTAATAGATATAACAAAAATGTGATAAATACCAGAGTAAGTAAGTATAACTAACAAGTTCCTTAGCTCATGAAAAAAAAAGAGGAAGCTATGAAACTATTTTGCTAAGTTAATGATTATTTGTTCCATTATTTACAGATCATCTGGTTTACAGCCTTGTTTCCTTATGTGATTCTGACCATACTGTTCTTCCGAGGTGTGACACTTGAAGGTGCTGGAGATGGACTTCTTTTTTATGTTACACCTCAGTTTGAAAAGTTGTTGGATCCAAAGGTATATCCAAATATTTAAACAAATGTGTAATATCCACAAAATGTCTAAGAAAGCATATTTTTCCTTCCTTTATAGATATTTGAGTTGTTTCTTTTAGGAAAGGCTTAAATATCTTAGTGGTTCTGTAAATATATCTCAAACAAAACCTGCTTTTCCCTGTAATAATAAAAGTCATCAATCAGCAAAACACAGACACCATAACCATACAAACTCAGCTTTCAAAGAAATTGAGCAACATGAATAAATGCACATTTTAAAACAGAATTTTGAAATTGTAGATTAACACTCATAGTTAGGTGAAGTTTGGTAATAATACTTTAATTTCAAAGATAAGCCAAACCAATGAAGTAAGCCCCTAAAATATTTGAAACTAAGATTAATTAATTATATCTGAAAAGTATCATACTGGTCAAGTTCAAACAAAGGAAAAACTTTTGTAAAGATACTATAACTGTTATTCTTAACAGCTATACTTTAATATTTAGTAAGAAACTATAAGATTGGAATGAAATTTTAAAAAAGCAGTATACACTTGCCTTCCCACTGTTATGAAGCCCTTTCCAAATAACCAAATAAATCATCACCCAGCCAAGAAGCAAATATAATGACAGTTCCATACGCAAGTTTCCTGGTTCATCAATTCCAGAACTAATACCAAGAACATGATGCCTGAAGAAGAAACAAACAAGAGGGAATCCTCAATAGCCACTGTTTTAATTAGATTTTAAATCCGTCAAAAGATTGAGCTATGATCTAAAAGTTTGTACTTCAAAAAACACGGAGCCATTCTATGAGGTGCTATGTCACGGCTAATGAAACAATATAAATCATATAAAATTTAACATGGATAATATGATGTTTTATATCGATTATATTTATGAGTATGTTTTAAGTTAGTACTGTATTAGTTTGTTTTTATCAGCTTAACAAATCATTGATATGAAAGATTGAAAAGTTAATAAACTCAACAAAACAATGCTAACAGATACAATTTATTACATACTTCCAAAGATTTTTTTCCCTATATTCTTTAGTTACATTTACTTGTGATATAATTATGAAATGTCATAGTAACTGAAGTTTTTCAGGCAAGTTTTTTATAATTGCAAGTGAAGTATAAATGATTGAATGAAAAATAAACAGGTAAAAGAAAAGGTTTCTAAAATACTTTTTTTAGAAAGTAGGCACAGACTTAAATAATAGCAATAAAATTTTTTCTGATAATTCTTAAGTAAAATGCCTTTTGTTTGGAAAATATGAGAACCATCAATACAAATTCATAAAATCTGAAATACCTACATTTTTTACAATATTTGCCCTTAAAATACACAATTTTCACCTTGAAAAAATACTTACTCCCAAAACTCTTTAATAGGTGAGGAAGAATTACCCATAGAAACATTAGCAACAGAAACATTGCCAAACTCAGGATCAAAACAGTTAGCAGTGTTCCAAGGTCTACCACAACCTTTCCATGGAAGATCTGATGTAAATGATGAAACCAGATAAAACAGAGTCCAAGCTATCACAACCACAAAGTAGATGTTGTACAGACATACGATTGTCATTGATGCAAAGCCAACACCTAAAATTTAAGAAAGAAAAAAAAGGAGAAAATGGTATACAAGTTATTTAAATACCAAAAAATTGGAACTTTTAAATCTGTAAAAAAAAATCAGTTTATTCTTTGTAAAAGATGATTTAGCTTTCCTCCCTTCTGGTAGAAAAGGACAAAATTTGTGAATAAGGTTGAACATTCTGATATTTTGTAATAAGTGCAACAAAATAATGACATTTATCAAACTAACACCTGAAAAAAATATATAGTTAAAAAATAACACTAATTTAAGGTTTTGTATAAAGCTTAATTTAGTTGTATAACACCAGTTTTAAATATACAATCTAATTATAGAGTTAAATTACCAAGATTTATTTTTATTACTTAGTGTTTTATTGAGATTTTGGAAGGCATTTTAATTTTTAAGCAGTCTGTGCTCTTACTGACATTTGTTAGGGTAGTCATACAATACTTCTGCCTAAAATGGGCATAACATTTCCTCAATTTCCACTTCAAGTTATACAATATGTCTATCAAAACATTATTGTATGTTTCCTTTAAACCCAATAGACTGAACAAGTAATTACACTGTTACATTAAAAATTAAAAAAACCAACTCAAATATTAACTTTCAAAAGTTAGGAAATCAATCGAAATACTTGTCAGAAACAAACATTTTAAAATATGAAGATTCAGCAGAATAGTACACCTTTCAAAATTATTAAGAGTTTTTTGTTTATAGTAAGCACAGAGTTTCACAATGGGTTATCTGTCCATTGCCAACAATGAGTATTGAAACAGTTTTTAATATTACAAGCTTTTAGGCTTACTGCTGAGCCAGGAAGCAGTTATTAAAGGCACAAGTAGTAGTCAAGAAAATGTAGCAGTTGTTCACGAAGAAGATTTTAAAGACATTGCTACATTAAAATCAACTAGAAATGAATACAATGTTTAAAACTGACTTAATTAAGACACTCTAAGATCTGCACAAAATGTATAAGAAAATTTTTCTAACTAAAATGTTATCATTAAATATTTCTGCTCCATTCAGAATATCTGAAACTTTAACAATTAAGATTAACTACACAAAAATAGGAAGTAAGTTGTAACAAATAAAAATTAGTAGATATTTATAATATTTACAAATGCTGTAATTATGAATTTAATGAAAATATACCTTACAAATATGAATTTAGTTCTGTGAATAAAAGAAGTTACTAATTTTGCAGTATTCATGTTTTTATATTACAATATCATTTAAGTTTTGAGCCTTACATTTGCCTAGGTTTAGAGTTTGTTAAATTTAGAGGCTGAACTCAAAACCATTTCACAAGTTCATTAGAAAAGTAGCAATTCTTACAAAAAAACAACAAGTTTATTGAAAACATTATTCAGTTTAACTATTGTAATATTCTATAACCATAACAGAAAGTAGTTAAAACAAAAGACCCTTTCAACAAAAAAAAGGACTTGCACAGGTACATGAAAGTGATAATTTGGCTAAACCTCATTTAACATTAAGTTTGTAAGAGTAATTACTTGAAACCACAGCTGCAAAAGTATATCAACACTTCAGTGAACACTGGATCTACTATTGAAAACCACTGAACACTGGGGTAAATCTGCAATGTAACAAACTTAACTTTGTCTTCCTTAACCTAGCTTTCTCTACCACTTATTCATCACACAAAAATAAGAAACAAATAACCAGATTGGTCAGTAAATTTTGTCTAAGATCATTATTTAACAATTTCAAAATCAAATATTTTGGCATCTAATCCCTTAATAATATACTATTGTCATAGTACATGGTCAAATGATATAGCCCATTTTGTTGAAAGGTAGATTGATCGACGTGATCAATTTTAATGTTTATAATTATTTTAAATATTACTGTTCATATAATTGAATTTATGGCTTAAAATATAATTAATATATATAATACTGAAAGTACTTAAATGAGATTTCATTATATTCTAATCATCGTAGGTTTGTTGTTTTGTGTATTGAGTTATAAAATTATGTACATCTTATCAGATTGTTTGTTAAATAGAATTGTCTTTATAAATTCATAATTTACTACTTAGTTCTAATCTATAAAGCTAAGTTACTTTTGATCAAAATCTATTAGTAATTTGTATTAGTAACAAACTGTTTTGGTCCTTTACTATGAAATTTATATTTTCAGAAAACAAGTATAAATGGTTTTTATCAAATTTTTTACTGTTTGATCTTTTGCCTTTTTTATGAACATAATTTAAAAGGTAAATGAGAATCATTGTTTGCAGTAAAATTAAATTCAGTTTTAGTAACTTAATCACTTTTATCAAATCCATAAAAAGATACTGTCTTAAAGTCTCTTTCTCTCCCAGTTCTAACCTTACATCTAAAATATAATTGAATATGAATGTTTAATTTATAGTCCTTGACTTACTGATAACAGACACAATTATTATATGCTTGAGCTTATTAACTTATCTCAGTGTGATCCAGCTTCTCAAGGTTTGTGGGCTAAAAGAATATACTCTTAACCTAGTTTTAGACATACTATTTTTAATAGATTCATATACTTACTAAACTAAAACAGTGTTCTCCTTTAACGTTTACCTTGTCTATTCATTTTACATTTGGATAAGTTTTATTCTGATTTCAGTCTTTCTTGTTTGTGAGACCATGGAGGTAACCCTTATCTTAACCAGAGAATGAGGTACTAATTTTCATTTTAATAAATATTATTTTGGTTTTAACCTTACCTATTTATGGGAATACTGAGGGCAAGAGTTTTCTGCAACTAGTGGTTTGAAATAAATCTCAATGCTGGAGGTTGAGGGTTTTAGGCATGCATTGAGTGTGCCATTATCAGTCATGTACTATATCTTTAGTTTCACTTGTTTCATTACAGGAAAAAGTGCTTTCACAGATATAGGTGCTTCCAAACATTGAAAACATTTTGAGTGCAGAGTTTTGTGATTTTGGAAAATGCTCCCTAGAAACAAACATCCAGAAACTATCATGACTCCAATTTTTCTTTGTTAATAACAAAATGGTCAGATTACATCAGTAATTTCCATTGGGTTGCTAAACAGCTCAAGACTCGGCTTTAATGTGTCAAAGTCTGCAAATCTTTCTCAAACACAGCAGAAATATTAAATTTTTTCTGCAAAGGTTGAAAAGTCTGCTGTTCTGTCATCTACCAACAACTCATGGCATGAAGTGGGTAATATTATTTTCATTGAAAAACACACTAAGCAGATGTAGTTTTTTAAAAAGTTTTGAAGTGTCCCACCACCTGGGAGACATTCTACTGCCTACCTTGTAGTCTGAGGTTCAAGTGATCAGTCATGCCAAGGGGGAAAAGGAAGTCTTTATGTTGCAGTTGATAAAAATATGTTGTCAATTTGCTCATTCTGGAGGAAGCAAAGGATTTCTTTTCTAAGTGAAAAGAAATGCTGAAGACACTTTCTTGCATTAGCCATATGTTATTGGAATGTAATGGTAAATCACTAAATTCTGCATTCTATAAAAAAAATCACTAAATTCTTCTTCTATAAAAAAAATAGATGAATTTTCTATGTTTTTGGGATTTTTTTTACTGATGTTTATTATGTTGACAGCACTGCCTATTACATCACTCATCTTCAAAATCATCCCACAAAAGGCTTCTTGATGTATATTACTGTGAAGAGTGAGAGTACCCACTCCATTTTTCTTAAGCAAACAGACTAATCCCAGTTTATTGCAGTCATTGCTCTTACACCATCAGTCACAATGCAGAAGCACTTCTGAAACCCATTATATTCATTAATAACAGAGACAAGCTCTGCATAGATGTCAGATCCTTTTGTACTGCTATCCAAAGTTGCACCTTCAGTTCTTCATGTATTGAGAAATTTTCATCAATATTGTGGATAAAAGTCAGCATTTGAGAGATGTCACTGATATCTGTGCTTTCATCTAAAACTGTTGAAAAGTATTTATATTTTTGAATGGAAAATTTTAGTTTTCATTCATTTCACTTACTCTCCTTGCCACAGTCTGTTGAGCTAATGGTACATTTTCAAAATTTCCAGCCACTTTATCATCCCCAAATGCACGTGCCATTACCACTGCATACTGTTTTACTGTGATTTTTTATTTTTCGAAAGCATAAGAGAGACCTCGTATGATGCAGTAAGACTGTCAGTTCCAAATTTTGCATACTTAAAGCACTTTTTGTTTTTTGCATTTCCCTTTTGAGTTCATCAAAATATCAGCCAGTGATTCTCCTACATACTGGTTGTACTTTATCTTGTGTTCTGTGTTCTTATGATGCCTTATGTTGTATTCCTTTGGTATAGCAAAGGTTTGTAAACACACAAGACACTACAGTTTTCCATTGTTTTCAACAAAGAAACATCTTTCCTCCCAATTCAAATTCAATGCCCTGTGTTCCAATAAACCCTTTCTTTTTGTGGACATTCATTTTAGACTCCAGTGTACAAGGGAGTCTGTGAGCCAAATATGGCTCAAGGGCCCATAGTTGGGCTATCTGATTTATCTGATAAGAAACGAGTTTCTGTTTCACATAAACAATTCCAGCATTTTAATAAACTAAAATAACGAAACCTACACCTACACAAGTTTTATGCATGTACCAATATTCTTTAGCATTGCCAATTATTTTATTGACAATTTTAAAAAAGACAATTTTAATGTTTGGTCGATGAGATTTTGAAATTCATTAAAGAGGTTTCACTAATCAGGCTTGAACTAGCTCATAGAAATCTCACAGTCTCAACCAACATAAACAAAGATCCAAATACAAAAATACTCAATTTCAACAGATCTCAAAATAAGAGATACATTTTTAATTCAACCTTTTTAATGGATAGTTTTCATGACCATTTGAGACCTACAATCAAAATTCTAGGTTAAGCATAATAAAATCTCTGAATAGTGGGAAAAAAGAAACAGTTGAGAAAAGCAACTATTTCACCATCTTAACACGGATAAGTGCATAAGTTTTCCAAAAAATACTCCTAAATTTTTGAAGGTATTTTATATTTAGTTATGCTATATAGTTATATACATAGAATGAAAGAAACTAAAAGTTCTGAAATTAACACTATCTGGAAATAATAACCATACTGTATTGATAGTTTACATTTTAGTTCACCTCTATATGAAGAAATATATTGGAAAATTTAGTCTACTGTTGGAAAATAGAAATTTTAAACAAGTTTTACCAATCTGTCTATAGAATGCTCACCTTCTGATAAAATTTTTCATTCAGAAAATATAACTTCAATGTGTGAATGATGTGAAAGACAAAAACTGTCACGCCTGCCATTAAGAATGGTCGCAGATGTCTTCTGTATACCAATTTGAAATTTCTAGATTAAGAATGAGCTTAGAATATTCATGAACTTGCTATATTATTAATGACTTTCAAAGCTGTTACTATATCTTTCACAAAATAAAAACGTTTATGTATAACTGTTTATTGGGAAACAACGTACAACTTAATATTGACTAAATGAAGAAGTCACCAGTGCTCATTCAAGTGGCAGTTAGATATTACCAAAAGTCAATGAATGTAAAAGAATTTAAAGCTTAATTTCCTTTGCTACAGCCCTACCAACTACACTTGTGGCAGCTGATTGTGGCTCACGCAGATGATTCCACGTGTTTTGACCTGGTTACTCGCTGATCCACGATGAAGATTTGGCTCACTGGAACATACAATAGTCAAGGTGACCCTACTGTCAAATTACGACAGTAGGAAAGATATGAAAACTAGAATATCATTTCAATGAAATGAAAAATTATTTCAGGTAAATTTTGATGAATACCTAAAGAAACATCTATGTGATTTTTTAAGTTTAAGATTACTTTTTATATTTGAAATTGTGTCAAAATTATGAAATTTGGAAAACAATTAGTGAGTTTAGAAACTTATTTTATCATTAAGAAAGAAAATTTTGCCTTTCGTTCAGTTTCTAAAATACTTACATCAAATGTTCTTTTGATATACTTCAACAATTTCTTGCCAAAACTAAAATTGAAGTGTGTCAAAATTGAATGATTATGCAATTTGATCATTCAGGAGAAAAGCATCATAAAGTTGCCATGAATGATTGAGTGGATTAGTTTTTCAGAAATCCCATCATATCAACAATGTTGGTCGTTTCACTACTTAAACTTTAACCAGCTTTACTTTTATCTCAGGTATAATAGAATGAAGCTGCCTCAAACTGTATGTACCCACACTTCCAGTTAGTTCAGCCAGTGAGATTGTCAACTTATTATATTTTCTATATGTAACATCTATGTTTTTAATGACAAACCAAAAAAATTGGGTAAACTCAATTTTTTGAAACCTCTTAATAAATCAACAAGATGATAAAAAACATACTGGCTAAACAATATTATTTATGTAACTTAATACTAAGGGAATGGAATAATAGAGAAACTTCACAAGCAACTACCTAGGTTGCTAACAAAAATATAAATTATAAGATTAATAGAAAAATATGCATACACAAATTGTGCTTGTTATGCTTGGTATCTACTAGATAAGTGTTCAAGTTTTCCAGCTACAAGTCTGTTTGTAAGAGGTACCCCAGGAAGTACAACAAATTGTTATCCTACAAATCCCTTCCAAATTAAATATTTATTTCAACCATGAAAAAATAAATTTACTCAGTCACAAGGAATCTTTGCCAAGTGACAAACACATCAAACCATTGTTATTGGTGGTTATTATTACACATACACATAAACACACATTTATAAGTATGATGGTAAGAAAAACAAAGAAAATGACTGGGACACTCTGTATTGGGGGATAAAATGGAAGAGATATGTAAGTGGGGTTGACATACCTTTAAACATTGGCACTAAGTTCCATATACCAATACCACCAGTGCTAAGGTATTGGCCAACAGCTACCTCCAGGAAAAACAGTGGGATAGCACATAATACTAAACAGATTAGGTATGGAAGGAGGAAAGCACCTAAAATTATAAGACAAAAATCAGAAATTATTTCACTGTATGATATTACATAAAACCTTCCAAAAGTACACCTAAACACACACATTATGGTGAACAAGTATGCTTACTTACAGCAGCAATTATGCACAATAGCCAGTATTTGGAGTGTGTTTCTTTCGTCTTGAATAATAAAGTTTCTCAAGTTAACCAGATAGTGTACACATTTTCCAGTGTGAATTGTGCATGTTAACCAGCGTGTACATTATATAATAGAAATTATGCATGCTGACATGATAATGTGCATATTACCCACAGGGATTTATGTATGTTAATTAGACAATGTGCAAAATTTTCACAGACTAACTTTGCCATGAACAAAAGTGTTTCATAGACTAACTGCACAATGAGCAAAATTGTTTCACAGACATATATATACATTCAACAGTGATATTGGTTGTTATACATAATACCCGAGGAATATGAAAATTCTTTTTTTCACATTAACCATAACATTTCATGTACTCTTCCTCATTGATTTTTTCCTATTAATTACATATTCTATTCCAAAGAGCAATACTGAACTCAAAGGTTTAAGTGCATTAAAACCCCAATTGGTTTTAAATGTTAAAAAGGTAAACAATAAAAGCAAGAGGCAATAGGCTGAAAAAAAAGTGTTTTCATTTGAAAGATGATATGAAATGACTACCATTCCACATCTCTGATGTCAATGACTGTTACTGAGGCAAACCTTAGGTCTGGCAGATAGGGGTGGGTGGGTCCTTTTTCACATCATTAAACTTGTGGTGTGTCTTTGAAAAAATTAATGCAACTAACTATTTTTTTTTTTTTTCAAAATTGTGTTTGAGTTAGTAATTTCTATTTTATTATTTACATATTTTCTATCTATCCTTTGGTCCAGCTATATTTTTTATTTGCCTTATACATTAGCTCACCAACACAGGGCTCACATAGTGGGGATGTATGGATACTATTACTAAGCTGAGGATTGTGTAAAACAATGTTAATTAGTTAGTCATGTGACATGTAATATCATGGTGATTTAAAATTCAACTGATGGAGATGAGATAAGTGTTAAGTTAGCGATTTTTGAAACTGTGATACACAAGAAATTTGATTTGTTAAAAGATGTTATTGCAAACACTTGCTTAATCTTTTATATGTAAATTAAACTTATTTCATTCAAAAATGTCTAATTCTGTTACCACGAATAATCTTACACATTCATCTTCTTCTATTTCTTTTCCGTATTTGTTATTATATGCTATCAATATTTTGCGATTTTTATATTAACAACGTTACTTTTTCATATTTGACGTCAAATTGGACATTCATTTTAGTTAGATCTATTCTCCTCCTAAAAAGAAATAGATCTAAAATACTGCTATGAGATATTAATGTTACAAATACTGTGATAAATTCCTCACCTCCTCCATTTTCATAACACAAATAGGGAAATCGCCATACGTTTCCTAAGCCAACGGCATAGCCAATGCAACTGAAGACAAAATCCAGCTTCCCATTCCATTCACCTCTCTCCATGGAAGACACATTTTCTAAATCCTCATTTTCCTCCTCTGTAAGTGTGGGTACTTGAACTTGAAGACAATTTGGAATGGGGACAACAAGGAGCTTGATCCCATTTTCTGCAGCCAGTGCACTTTGCTCTTCTAGAGGAATTTTCATTATTGAATGTTCAATGAACACGTTGGACTTCTAGCTTTCTTGATAATAATTATGAGTTTAGCCCTATATGCAAATGATAAAATGTATTTAATACACAGTAGAGAGAGAAATACATTTTCATTAAGACTTAAGTTGAATATAGTAAAATACAGATACAGGTCTGCCAAGTTTCGGGAATCTATGTGGGTGAGCCTTTTGATTGAGTAAAATTTTGGAGTGTGAAGTTCTGTGTGAACACCAGTTCTACTCTAGGGAGGGTCTGGGGACCTTTCCCCCATGAAATGGTTTTAATCAATGTACCAAAATGATGCAGTCTTCTTAGATCAATATAATGTTGATTTTAATCAGGATACAGCCAGTGAGGCAACCACAATTAATTATAGAAACCTGCTAATTTCACCAAAATGTAATATGAGATTTTCTTTTCTTACTAATGCGTGTGAACGTCAAAACAGACCCAAAATACGTGAGTCTCAGGATCAATGGGTGGCTATTAGTAGCTCTAAAGATGGATAATGATTGTCCAAAAATACAAAAAAAAATTGTTAGTTGGATATTGACTCAATTATGTTCACCACTTCAATAATTATAATAGAAAACCCAACTTCAGTTATAGATGTAGCTGTCGGTAGTTGCCATTAGTCACTTATTACCTTAGTCTCAACACGTAACCGAAAGTGAATTGACTCTCACTACAAGCATACAGAAGTCACGTCAACAACTTTTAAATTCGGCGCCTCTGTTGTCCTATCGACTTTATGACGTTATAACTTATAACAATTCGCATCATTTTTAGTATATGGTAGATTAAAAAAGTGAGATAATTAAGGTTCGAAAAACTGCGATTGTGTAAAGTACAAAAATGTTGGAATATAATTTATAAATTAGCTGTTACGAAATCTATCAACTTCCAACATAAACATTCAAGCTAATAATTTCTCGATACGCAAACATGTGAAAATTACCAAGGTCACAAATAGCAGTATCTTGAATTTCTTTTCTTTTCTTTTTGGCGTGCGCACAAAAAAAGAGTGACAAAGTATTTCCTCATACATATGAATATAACATTTAATTTATACTTATTTATTACGCATTACGATTAAAATCACTTAATAATAACTTTCTGCTCACAAGGGTCAATTCAAGACACCCCTGTTCGTTTATTTTTAGTAACCTAACTGCAAGTTTAATACGAAATCAATTTTCTATCCACGACGTGAAAGTACTGCGTTTGTTAGTACTGCCATTTATTTGAAGTTTGTTTGTAGTTAAGAACGAAGGACTATCTGTCCTCTGCCCACCACGAGTATCGAAACCCGGTTTCTAGCGTTGTAAGTCTGCAGAAATACCGCTGTGCCACTGGGGGGCACCATTTATGTAAGTATGTACAAGTTTAAAAATTTTTAAAAAGATTAATATTATAAAAATATATGCCTTAATTGGCAACATTGCTAAGCTGTAAAAATGACAAAAAAGAATTCAGTGTGATAAAGAAAGCCATTTCAAATCGACATGAAGAAATGTACATTTTAGGACTAAATTTTCTGTCTTAGTGATTAGCGCACTCGACTACAAATCGAAAGGTCCAAAGTTCGAGATGTGATGTCCACACTTCTAGTCAGAAGTAACACTCAACACCGTTATCTGAAGTTGCCGTTTACCTCGTGTTCGTAAAAAGTGCCGTTTATATTTTAAATACCAATATTCTCCCCCCCCCTCTTCCACCATTTTTTTCAAACTGTATGAAACTTAAACGCTGGAGAAGCTTCTATAATAAATACTTAATTCAAAAAGCGACAGCAGTAATTTTTCTTTATTAGTTCTACTGATTCCACTAGACACATCGGCAACTGTAACATTAAAGACTGATTTTATAACTGTAAAACTATGAATATTTCAAAAGTGGAACCCGCAGTTATATACATATCTTGACTGCTTCTATTAACGCTCGATTATCTTCTAAGTTATCAAACATATTGACATATTTCTTCGTTTGTTTAGCCCCCCCCTCAGTGGCACAGCGGTATGTCTGCGGACTTACAACTCTAGAAACCGGGTTTTGATACCCGTGGTGGGCAGAGCACAAAGAGCGCATTGTATAGCTTTGTGCTTAACTACAAATAAATCGTTTGTTTATAATAATCTCCACTAAGAAAGTTGAGATCTAAAATGTACTATCAAACTATCCAATTCCTAAATCAAATTTTTTGCTAATAATGAAGGCATTTGTAATTTGCATAGATTAGGTTCGTGCCTATACAGTTCAGTCTTGATGCATAGGATCGGCTTTCCCTCACGAAAAAAATAAAGGAAATCAGACTATATCTCTGCCAGTACTTCGTGTATGTTTGTTTTTATAATATCAATTCTATGTCTTATCATAGAAAATATGCGATTATTACAAAGGACTCTGTGTATTATCCCTACATCTTATTTTATATTTATGGCAGAACTAGTTAGGCTAATATTCCGCTGTCCCACAACATGCGGGTGATATCTCATGGCATCAAACATATTCGAACCGCTCCTAGCACTATTGTTAAAATTTAAATATAGCAGCAATGCTAAGTTTCTATTTCCATAACAGTATTCCCCTAGTAACGCAGCGGCAATTTTGAGGGATTGTAACGCTTAAGTTCGAGTTTCGATACCCACAGTTGTCAGAGCACAGATAGCATTATGTGTAGCTTTGTGCTTAACAATAAAACAAACACGCATTTCCTAACTGAAAAAAAGCAACTCTACTTTTAGAATTATTCAAACGAAGAAGAATAGTGAACTATTCGAAAACGCTCGAGTTTTGGGTCTCGTTTGAAAACCATTACAACTTTTGTATGTGATCCTGTGTGCTAACTTCTTGGTCAGAATTTAGAATTATTCGATATGCACTACTTCGTAAACTGCAAGAATTAAATTTTAAGCTATACTGAATGGAATCCAAAGTTGATCTGTCATTTACCCACAATTCTACCTCCTCGGACTAAAATATTTTAGGTTCTGTAATTCATATAAATAAAGATAGTGTTACAAATACGTACGTTAGACGGAAACGGTGCACTGTAGTTTTTATTAAAGCAACAGACAGCAATGGCGCCTGTCTGTGTGATATGATGCTGCTAAAACGTTCCAAATAGAGCGTCTGTTAATTCGATCACAACTGGGACAGTCTAAGCCATTTTTAAGAGACGAGTTTAAGCCAAGTATTTTTGCAAGAACTCCCTCTTGGCAAGTTGCCCAAGGATAAACAGGTCTGCTTGATATTTGGTTTCTGCGCGGGTGTAACTGGCATCACTCTACTCCACGTGTGTCATCTGAAGATACTGTAAAATTACAGTGCATTTGTTAAAGTTCTATTTCTAGCAAAAATTCTGCAGTTGATATTTGAGACAGAATTACCTTTCCGTTTCATATCTTCAGCTTTACCGATGATGATCATATTGTAAATAATCCAGGCTCAAACATACTTCGAGAGGATCTTTTGAATATTTTGGAATGTCTAAATTAAGACTTCTTTTGAAGTACAATCTTTATATATTTGAAACCAGGAGGACGATTAGAAAGTGCATATAAGAAAATCAAGACTAATCACATTCTGGCAATTCCTCTTGCTGTTTCTGTTGTAGATTTCTAGCTTATATAAGTATATGACAAAACAAAATAAAAAATATATGTATTCAAGAATTTCCACTGTTATTTAAGTTCTTTCTGCCTCAGTTTCAAAAGTTTTTGAATATGTTTTTTTTTTAATCTCGCTGTGTGTGTCACTAAATATAAAATGATTGGCAGCTATCATTGTGTCATCTGTGCTAGAATTTATACCTTATCTTTAATACAATAACTTTCCATTCTATGTCAAACTCTATGCGCTACCAAATCGTTAATTACAAGCTTAAATATGCAAACATTGACAGCGCGTGAGTTTTGTTTGGGTAAGCTATTTTATATAGGGTATAGAAGTAAATGAAAACCCTATAATCCGAACGTTTTCGAAAAGTAGACCTTTCTTCTTTAGGGGCAAGCCGTTGGACGGGTGAAATAAAAACTCGTTTTCAACAAACGACAGGAAATTGTGTTTCTATTTGTTTTTTTCTTAATATAATAAACATTAATTAAAAGTCCAATAAATATAGATAAGGGCACCAATAGTGAAAAGAAAGACATACTGTTTTCAAGAATTCTAACAATAGTGGTTACATAGTTCATTCTAATGCTGATGGATATACAACATTGGTAGTTTTTCCGAAATTAGATATGAAATTAGAAAGTCAAGTTTGGTGTTGATTGATCATGAAATGTGGAAACGTATAAGGAACAGACACACACACACACATTGACGTTTATATAGATCACAGAGATTTGAATGAAGCTAAAAATACATAAGTCAACAGGATGGTCTGCTGACCTTACCCTATAAGTAATTCTATATACACGGCGTTTGTAAAAGAATAATAAAAAAACTTATTGTAGTAAACTAGCAGGACAGAACTAAGTATTTTTGGCGTTAAATATAGTTGTGCCAAGTAGTATTTTTGCAGCACGTGCTCCAACGTATGGAACACATCCAGAAGATACCACAGGTGTACCGGGGTTTACGTCGGCTTTTTGTGCTGTTTAAAAATAAATCAATCAAATGTCGTTTTATGTCTATTCAGATTTAACGTAGACTAATAAAAAGAAAATATCATACCTTGCTTGTAATGTCCTCTGACGTATTTGTTGCTCCTGAACTCTTGTCTAAGAATAAAAATAATGAAAGAAGGGGGTAAATAAATATAAATATTAACTCAAATTAAAAAAAAAATCTGTGCTGACTGAGTAGAAACAATTCTGAGATGAAATATTTATTGATTATATTTAATATTTTAAATGTTGCAATTACTTTAAGAACAGGTGTAGATGTAGGAAAACTATTTACAATTTGTTTGTAATTAAGCACAAAGCTACACAATGGGCTATCTGTGCTCTGCCCACCACGGGTATCGAAACCCGGATTCTAGAGTTGTAGGTCCGCAGACATACCGCTGTGCCACTGGGGGCACTACTTACAGTACTCATTCATGAGTTCACTCTACCGACCTACTCTCCTTAATTCTCATATATTGAACGCTTAGATCAACACAACTGTTTTGTCGTACAAAATTTGAATGGATCTCGGTTAATTTAAGAATTTGATGGTTCATAAACAAACGCAGTTATAGATCGCTACAAACGAACTACAAGATAAACATGATGCTAAAAATATAAGGTATGCACTCAAGTGATATCCACGCGAGTATCGTGTGGAATTTGGAGTACGTTTACTTGTTTGAAGTTTTTTTTTTTGGGGGGGGGGAGTACTTTAACGTCACTAATACCATTTTGACAGTCCACTTAGGCAGCAATTCTATACAAATGCGTTTTTGAACAATATTTTAACTTTATTTTTGATGGGTGAGTGATATTCTAACTTTGAACCATGTCTATATTCCACTTGATCATTCCTGCTCTCTACCAAACGTAGTTCGTTTCGGAAGACCTTTGGTAAGTAGTTATTAAATTAATACATACAACCAGAAACTGGTAAAAATTACACATTGGTCTAGGGTCACATATAATGTCCTTGTTGTGGAACAAAGCTAACATTAAAAAGGCAGTTTTGATTGTTTGTAACTAAGCACAAATCTACACAATGGGCTATCTGTGCCCTGCCCACCACGGGTGTCGAAACCCGGATTCTAGCATTGTAAGTCCACAGACGTACGGCTGTGCCACTGGGGGGCAGGCAGTTTTGATGGCTTTACGTACAGTAACTGCTACAAGACATCTAATAATGTTATTAATATGTCCCGCGCTCCTAAAATTAGTGAAGCTTTTCAACTGTTTCGTATTTAATGTACCGAAAAACCACTAACCTATAATATCTTAAACTTGTTATCTCTAATGGACCAGTATAGTCAGAGCAATGCAATTCAAGCACGTAATCCAACAACCATACATGGCTTCTGCAGCATAAGCGGGCGGCTATTGCTACTTGGTACGATCAGAAACAGTATGACGTAATACCGGTGTAACTTCCGCTATGTCTGAATTACGCTACAATGCTGTGTTTGGCTCTGAGTCAACGACTCAACGGTTGGAATTTTTGGATAACTTCTGTTCAGTCACAGCCCATTCTAACACCCTGCAGTTGGCTTTTCTATGTTAATCCAAGCTTTAAGTACAATCCGAATATAAAATAAATTTACTTTTTAAACCAATATTCATTTCTAGTTGAATAATATATGACTCACAAATATAATATTAAGCATACAAAATTGTATTAGAATATAAAAGAACATTTGTAGACTTCCCGTTATACAGGGACATTTTATCAAATTAAAAACTTGATATGTTGACAGAGAAACAAATCACTCATACGTCAGAAGTTTGTTAATGCGTATATTTGACTGATGGACTAGTTTAATTAACCACATCTTTGTAGACCAGGACTTTAAAGTTGCTTAGCAATTTGACGAGAAAGTCATTGCACAGAAGGCTTGGGTGGGGCAAAGAAGGCTGGCTTCACATGAACCTCTTCCCACCCCATGACGGTCCCAAGTTTGACGACCAGGCGAAAAACAGTAAAGCAGGACTAACAAGGCAGTAAAAGAGCATATTCTGGTGTTACGTTTCAAGATAATAAGACCCCCCAGTGGCACAGCGGTATGTCTGCGGACTTATAACGCTAGCATCCGGGTTTTGATACCCGTGGTTGGCAGAGCACAGATAGCCCATTGTGTAGCTTTGTGCTTAATTACAAACAAAATAGCTAATAGGTATTAACCCGAAAGCTTCCTGTCGGAATATATTTAATACGTGCAAACAGTTTTATGCCCAAGCTAAATATTTTAAAACGATAAAAATAATGAAAATAAACATCTAAAGCAGATATACTCTTGAAGTTGTGTTAACAAATAAATAAAAAACATCAAAAAGCAAAATAAGCATTACCGCATAATTTGTTTAGGGTTTCTTCCATCAGAAAAATTTGTCTTATTTTGAAGGAAGGGGTGCTAAAATACTAAATTTTATTTCATGCCTTTAGCCTCCAGAACACAAGTTTCTTGATAGTCAAACAACAATATAAAAAAAAGTCAAAAGTGTGGATCCAAACAGAATATGAAAAACTTTACCAAGGGTTAAGCTATAATAATAATAACCAGCGAACCTGACTTCGATCTACCTATTTGTGGTATAGTATCGTGTTACCAGACCTTAAACATATTTTACCAGTGACGTCATGGTCTGCAGCACACTGTAGTTTTCCATTCCTAGAGAGAGTATAACGTCATCAAACTGAGAGCAGGACAACGTGTCTTAGCAGTCCAGATGTGCACTCAACTCCTGCACCGATACTATTTTTAGTATATTTTCATCGATTCAAATTTTTGCGATCAAAATTGTTAATTTGTATCATACTATAAATCTAATATTTGCACCTAACGGCTCTATAGCGTTTTCGCCTAGCAGGCTTTATTGCATAACACATCCTGCTATGGCGGCTTTTCAGCTAAACACGCACGTTCATCGATCGATTGATCGAACTAGAGACTTCTCAAGCTTGAAATGCAAGCTGCACCCACGTACCTGATTTTGCCGCCATCTTGTATTTTACCGTGTTAACCGTGAAAAACAGTTATTCTCGTCTGCCAAAAAAAGGCATTTAAATCACATTTATTATGATTTATGTATATCTGTCCAAAAAATTATTTTGAATCAGACGTATTAAGTACATTTACCCAAGACATTTTTTTGTTTAGTTTTTAAATATTATTTGCCAACCAAATATTACAAAAATTATACTACTGAAAGAATCTGTTCAAGAGAATGTAGAATGTGATATGATCGGATAACTTGGAGTAACAGAGAACTGCTGAAACATAAAAATCTTGCACGAGTACATTTTCTAAATAACGTAAAAAGAAGTCTGCGTTCTAACTTTGTAAATTCATCGAAATTAGTATTACAATGTCTTGCATCTTCCCCCCCAAAAAAGTCTAAGACGTGAACAACAAATCGTATATGAATTTTAGTAACTTCTGAGCAACATTTTACTTACTCAAAGTGTTGCAACAGATTTGCAACTGTGTTAAATAACCTGACATTTCTTTAAGTGCATACTTGCTACAATCGAAGTCTTAAATGTTGGGGTAAATAGACTGATTGCATAGATTTTAACACTATATTTTTTTATATCACAGAGAAACCTAACTAAGGGTATGTGTTGGAGAACTACGTGTAGGACTACCAATGAGTACCATAAAATAAACTCCCATATGAAAAGAGGAGATTCAAATTTTATTGTAAATGTTTTTCAAACAACCTTATTTTAAAGTTCAAATTAATTGGCTCTGGATGTTGATACATTACGAAGTTGTTCGAATGTTTCAAGTTTTAAGTATACCTAGCCTATTCGAAGAAGTTTCAATAAAAATCTGGAGAAATTTTAACGTTTCCAGGTGAAACAAGTAGTACGTAATATAGAAAAAATTAAATAATGAAAATCAAATGTGTATTATGGCACACTTACCTAATGGAGACGTTCGGCAGGCCGCTCTTCTCAGTTGATGAAACTTCAAATGGTACCAAATACAAAGAGTGAGGTTTTTATATACTTTTTGGGTGTGTTCTTGAAGGTCGCTGCAGGGCCCGGTCCAACAAAGGGATACAAGGTATAACAGCTAGCAGTTTCTTTGTAGTCGTATTCAAACGCCCTGTAGGAACGTAAGAGTAACAATTATAATAAATCATTGGCCTTTAATGTGTTATTCACTATAATATTTTCAGTTAAAGATTAATGTAAAGATGGTTAAAAAAAGAGAATTATATTCAGATACAAACTTGCTAGTTAGTTATTTCTTGGAAAAGTATTAAATATGAGACGTTTCGTATGGGAATAGAAATCGCTCATAGCTTGCCTGTTAAAGCAGGAAATATTTTAAAATGTAGCACTTCTAGGAAGCAAGTTAAAGAAACAAGTTATAAGATGCAACTCTTCTGTTTCAGTCAAGTCACAGAGTCCACCCTTATATATCTACTGATTCTGAAAGGCAGATACCGCTAAGGCTAACAATATATGTAATGCTGTTGAAACTGCCTAAAGCCGGTTTATATTGTGTTTTCACTGCTCAGCTTCGCGATGTATGCGCGCCGTTAAAGTAGAAATTGTTTCCCATAGGCAAGCTAAGGAACATCTGATAAATGTGTGGAGGTTCCAAAGAAACTCACTTATGAAAGCTAAAAGAAATGACAAAATCAAAAAAAAAATGTTCTAGAAAATGGTATTCTAAGAATAAGATAACATATATATTGCTGGACAATTCATTTCATATGTGCATCTTTGTAAACTGTCACAGCAAAAGATAGTTTGAAGTTTTCTTGCTTTCCATTTATATTTAACAATCGAGTTTTCTCTCAAGATGATTTTTTTACACTTTTTGGTTCTTGATATACAACTAAGAAACAGATATGCTTATATTCAATAACAGATCCCATATCATACAAAGCTAAGAACTACAGGTTCGAACTATATAAGCTCTCATCAGCTCAGTGCAATCCAATGGAGCCTTATAGGTTTTTTTGATGTTATAAATATATTTATTTCGATTTCCACCTTTCAAAAGTTGTTATCCAGTATGACATAATATATTTTCCATTTTAAAGTTGAGAAAAATCGTCAAAAAATTGCAAATTAAGCTATAAAATCGTGTATATTCGAAATGATAGTTTTATTAAGATAATACTTTTTCTTTCTTCGAGTAATAAGATTATCAAATTATAAAATCAATACAGAGGAATTATTTTTTAAAAATGTATTCAATATTTCGAAGGGGTTGAAGTGTTTATTTCATTATTCAACATCTTTATTTCAGTTGAGGTAAAAAATTCATATCTGGAGACACGGAGGCAACACTTGAATATAATAGGATGAAGACCATACCACAGAAACGTGAACAGCTGTTTGCTTCCGCAGTCCCTAAAAACTCATAATATTCTAATAGACTACTCTGAAAAAGATATAATAGTGACCACGGGTCACCAACAACAAGTCTTTATCTAAATCTCATATAGAATCATTTGATTGTTTGTTTGTTTGTTTTTAATTATGCACAAAGCTACACAAGGGCTATCTGT